TGGAAGGTGGTCGGGCGCAGGGAGGTGGGTGGCTCAACGCAGGAGCACCCCCTACTGGCCCGCCTCACGTGGTGGAAACAGCGGAGGGATACGAATACCCAGCTGTGTTCCTGAGGTGGGATCTCTGCACCCGCCACAAGCTGCACGTCCAGCAAAACCAGAGCAGACCCCCGGGGGGGAGCGGGCTTCTGTGGGCATGCGAAGCAACAAGAGCGCCTTTGAAGGGATGGAAACTGCTGTGCTACGGCGCTTTGGGACTGATGCCTGCACCGTTCCTGCCAGAGTCCTCTTGCACTCCCTGCCCAGGACAGGACTGGGCGAGCACGGCTGAAATCGCACTGGGCACACGCAACGGGGGATTGCTACTCTGCAGCCACATTGCCTCCCAGCCAGCAGTGCCCACCCAGGGCTACCAGCAGACTCAGAGCAGGGTGGAAAACTACAGCTGAGGATGCTCCCAAGCATCATCCAGAGTCTCGCTGCAGGACCACGTGGTGTCAGGGCTGCAGTGGGGCTTCTCCCCCCTCCTTTTACTACTTTTGCTAGGAAGATTTGGCTGAAAATGGAAGGAGCTTTGCTGCTCCAGACAGCCAAAGACGTGTGCTGGACTGACATGTCTTTCCCCACCGCTCAAGCCTGGCTTACGGACTGGATCAGACCTGCCTCCAACCACTTTGCCATGCTGGCACCCTGCCGCCTTCGTACGGCTCTACCAAGCCACCTTGGGCCTGGCCCCGGGGCCAGCCCCCCTGCTATTTCAGCTCTCTGGCTGCAGCAGTGATCGCCAGCCGTGCATTCATGCATCTGGCTGTGCAGTGCAGACAAACACCCACTAGGGAGCAGAGCAAGCCAGACAAACTCGTGCCATGCAATAACTCCCACGTCTGCTCCGCAGCCCATGGTGCAAAGCTAATGCCTGCACCGGACCGTACATGCCCAGGCCCACGGCCCCGCGCATCCCCATCCATCCCAAAACACACGGTAACTGCATTTCACATAGCCTCATTCATTCACCCCATCTGGTCATTAAAACAGCCACCGATGACGAGCTCAGCGCTGCGCCTGCCGCTCGAGGGGTTCAGCAGCAAAGGTGCCATCGCCACAAGCGCAGAGCACAACATTATCACCCTGGCCCTCACAACCCACGGTCTCATGGAGCTTCCTGCTGCCTAGCTCTGATTTCAAGACAACTGGTTTTTGGGAGGCCAAATGCAAAACGGCAGCCTTTCCAAAATGGTACCTGTGCGCGTGGGTGTAGGTGTGCTTGTGCATATGCACAGCTATGTGCGCACATACATACACAGAGAGCCCAGAAAAGCCTTGCGATAAACAAATAAATAAATAAACGTGATGAATTTGAGCTGTCTCGAGAAGACAGACCAGTGCTGCTTATCACCCACGATTTGACCAGATAGCTGCTTCAGAAAACAGACGCTGGGCTTTTTATAATAAATGAAAGCAATAAAGGCAAAGTGCCTGCTCAGAGCTATAATTAAGAAGCCCCCAGGCTGAGAGTGAGGGGAGTTGTTCCCAGGCGAGGCGGGTGGTGGGTGCATGGGGGCCGGGGTGCTCTGTGCCACCCCAGGGATCCCCTCCCCACCAGGGTGCCCTCCCCAAAGAGGGGTGCAACGCAATACCCATCAAATGTGCAACACAATACCCATTGCCAGTGGCTGTTTTGCATTTCCTTTTGCCTGCATTAAAGCTGATTTTCTATGCGCGCTGTGCAAACTGGTCTGATTACATTTCCATTTTTCCCTGAAGAAAAGGGTCTTGCCCTTGTAAGGCCAGATGGATTTCGGGCCCCCACCTTCCTTAATAGCTTGTCTGAGGGGACAGGGATTAGGACTCACTCGCACAGTTCGAGCTACAAGTAGTTCTGTTCTGCTGCATCCCATCCCCGGTTTCCATGGGGACCAAGAGACAGAGTCAGTGGGCCTGATCCTGCTCTTCCATGAACAAATGCAGGGCAGGAGTGACTCCACCGCGGGCAGTGGACTGATATGGGGAGGGAAGGGGCTGGAGACTGGTGAAACGGGAAGCAGAGCAAAGCCCGGGGCCTGCCTCTCTCGTGTCAGCATCGTCTATCAGTCACAAAGCTCATTGCCTGCCACAAAGTTGGGCAGTGCCACCACCGCAGTTCATTCCTGACCCACCAGCTCCTGCTACTGCAGACCAGGGGCCTGATAGCACCCGGTCCCAATCCCGTGCTCACACTGACCTGCACCACAGTCCTGGCCTGGGTCACCCCGGACACCTACAGCCCCTGTCCCTGGCTCAGTGCTCACAACATGGTGGTCCCAGGTAAATCTGGGTCCAACTCCCAAAGGAGGGAAGTAGACGGGGTGATATGGCCTCTCGCTCCCAGTTTCCAACCAGTCTGCATTTACATGGCCTGACACAATCAAGGGAAGCAAGACGGAGGGGTAAGGTGAGGCCGAGGAACTCGTGTCAGTTGTGACTGAAGCTGGTGCTCCAGGAGGGAAGGGCTAATGCCCCTGGCTGCACTTCCAACCCTCCAGTTGGGGAGCTGCCTTTCCACCCAGCTGCCAGCCTCCCATCCCCAAGCCACCAGCTCATCTGCTCATCCTGGGAGCTAATGGCAAGCGCTGCTTGGAGCCGTTCTGCAAACTGTCTCGCCATTAGCAACTCAGGCTGCGGCTGGAGTGATGATGGGCCAAACGCTCGGCACCAAAGGGCAAAGAAGGCTTTAAAACATGGGTTATTGTGGAGGCCGGCAATCCTCCCGCCACGCGGACAGAGGCAGGGCAAGCAAGGGCACAAATAAGCTTGCTCTCTTTTTGCTTTAGCGTGCAGGCTCTCCGCGGCCGGGGGCCGTGGCTTTGTGCCTAGGCAGCACTAGGTATAGGGCGCCTCCAAAACCACAGTGATATAATTAGCACAGATAAGATAGCCACTTCGCTCTAGCCTGGCATCAGAAATGGCCTGTTAAATGATACGGTCTATCTGCCTGCCAGCTCCAGATTGCTCCCTGCGGCACATTATCTGTACCTTTCCCCAGCCTAGCTTCAAGTGTCTCCAGTGATCGGGCTCCCTGCGCCCCTTGGGAGATGCTTCCAGAGCTTGACAGATCTCACCACCACGGGCTCCCCCCCCCAGTCATATTCAGCCTCCATGTCCCTGTGCTCCATTTCATCCTATTACTCCATATCAAATGTTATTAAAGCGGCTTGGCCTCTTCTCTTGGAGCCCACGAGACTGCCTCGCCTCGTCTGGGCGATAATCCTCCCCGTGCTGCATGAAGGCTGGCGACAGGGAAGCAACCCATTGCAAGGGCTTGCTAGGACCGAGGAGTGTTTGGCTCTGCTGAAGATGACTGGGTCTGGCCCCTTGTTCACGCTGGTGGCTATTTCAATCCAGCAGCCACCACCTGACCCAAGCCAGGGACTTGCACAGCACTTGCTGACTCGGCAGCATCAGGTTAAACCCAGGAAAGCTGGAAATCTGCAGGAGGTACGGCCAGGCGGCGAAACGCCTTGGACAGCCAGCGCCTTCGGAAAGCACGAGGCCAGGGCTGGAGGGCAGTTATAACACAGGGCCCTGTTTGGCAGAGTTCAAGAGCTCACATAACCCCCCACCCATGTGCTAGGCACGAAGGCAGAGCACCCGGTCTGGCAAGCGTGCCATGGGGCCGCTGACGGAGCATGAGGAAGGAGCTGGGCATTTGATAGCAGCCTTCACCTCCCTGCAGGATGGATCCAAAGAGGACGGAGCTGGGCTGCTCTCGGTGGGGGCAGACAACAGAACAAGGAGCAATGGGCTCAAGTTGCAGCAAGGCAAGTTTAGGTTGGATATTAGGAAAAACTCTTTCACCAGGAGAGTGGTGAAGCACTGAAATGGGCTGTCCAGAGAGGTGGTGGATTTTCTATCCTTGCACCATGGATGGGCAGAGGGCGGCCTGGCAGTGGGCACCAACTCTAAGCCAGTGGGGACCTACCTTTTTGGCAAACATGCTGCAAATTAAGTCCCAGACCCCACCGAGCACCACTCCGATCCCCTTCCCCAGCCCGATCTGCTGCTCTCTGCTTTCTGCTCCCTGCCCTACTGCCACTAGGCTGCCTGCTCCCTTCCTAATCAACCGTGTGCCACACAGAGAGGCTGCCTGTGCCACTTGTAGCATACATGCCACAGGTTGCCCACGCCTGCTCTAGGCAATGCTTGACAGGGCCAGGAGCATGCTGGTTTCTACCGCTCTCTAAATGAGAATCTGTTTCATATGTTAATTAGCAACATGCTTGTGCGCCGGGAGGCGGGGGCAGTCATTGCAGTGGTTGATATGGGGTTTCTCTGCAGCAGGATCAAAGGTTCAGGCATAATCCAAGGATCGTGGGCAGGGATACTTAACGTAATGACTGTTTAGTTATGTGCTCTTTCATAAGATACCCCCCTGGAGTTCCCCTGGAAGTCAACAGAGCCCCCAGGTTGTTTGTCCTTGTCATTTTCCAAGCTCCCCTGCAGATATCCTCATATTAAAAAGCACTGAGAAGTTTTCATTTTGGATAAAGATTATTTCTTTTATATGACGAAACCTCCATTAATGTCCCTGCACTCAACAAGGTTTCATCATTCTTCCCCCTCTTCCCCTGTCACTCCATCACCGACCTTGTGGGAAACCATTACCAGGAAGAAGCTTTGAAGTACCAACTTTATTAAGATTGATTCCTCCTGCTTTTAGTTTTGACAGGTCCAAAGCAAACACATGGGGCCATGGGGAGATTTGGTAATAATTACCATCTTTAATTACTGCTAAAACATCAATTGCTCTTGTTCAATTAGTTACCACGGATTCAGGCATGGCAAATTTTGTAGCACAAAATAAGCTGAAAATTGATTTCTGAACACTTAATGCAGATCTGAAATTGCTAACCTGATAAGGGGGCCGGAGAAGAACAAGCACACCGTCAGCGAGGAATTTTGTGCTGATGTAATTGCTTTGGTGGAAGATTAATAACTTGTATACTTACATCTTGTACATCAAGTAGGAGTTACTCATTAAGGGGAGCACAAAGAAGGGAGGAACATGTTAACAAGGACAGAGGCAATTAGACAGGAAATCACAGCAGAGCGACTCAGCGCCTGTGCACTCGTGAACAGCAATCCCATTCTGGGAGGCACCATGTCACCGAAATCTTCTTCGTGCACCTCTTGGCCACAGCCACGGACCGAGGAGTCTCAAAGGGTCTCAGGGAACAGTGTCTGGTGCTGGCACGTTGCTCTGGAGCAGGAGCGCCCATGGGCCACACTGGGAGCAGAGTCCCACAGCCCAGACTCTCTAAGAGATGCTCCCTGCACCCGGGAGCTGGAAGTCCGAGTGGGCTCGACGGACAAAGGAGGAGCAAGGAAATACGTCTGAGCCGGAGCTCTCCCCGTGCAACTGCGCTGCTCTGGGCTCTGATGGCAGTGGGGAATGGGCGGCAGAGGAAGAGGCAAGAAAGCCCGTGGGGACATGCTTGTGAATAACCTGTCCTGGGAGAGGCTTCCTTGATGGCCCAGGTCCCTGGAGAGCCTCTCACAAGGCACCTTTACCTGACACTTCCACCCTGGGCCCAGCCATGCTGGGGAAGCAGGTCCACGTGTCTTTAGTGCACAGTTCATCACAACTTCTTTGAAACTCTGGAAGATACTGAGATGGAGAGATGGCAAACTGCATCCTCCCTGCCCCACTAATGAGCCCCCGATGGCCAGGTGAGTCAGCTCCCAGGGTCCCCGGCACTCTCAGATCCGCGTGTTTTTCCAACATGTCAAACATTGATGGGAGTGTGTTAAACTAGTGTGCTAATGTGTGACCTGGAATTGTTTTTTCATTCACACCTTCATACTTTGGGTAGCACCGAGCACCTTGCAAAGCAAATGGCCAGTAGGTCACCGCGACAGCCACCACTTCACACAGGGGGATTTTGCTCTTGACTGGGCTGAGTCTGATGCAAATACAGCTGTAATCCTGGCCTGTGGATGTAGCCAGGTGCATCTATAGCTGTTCCACTAACAGAGGCAGGTAGGCTCTTTTCTGAATAAATGGTGGCCTCTCCCAACTGAAAAGATGGCACGGAGAAGAGCAGCATCTGGCATGATGCACTGGACTCCTGAGAGTTGCTCTGTCTCCATTTCATATCCCGTTTGCTGGGGAGTGGCAGAAAAGCCCCCCAAGGCTGGGGAGATTATGTGGGCTTCTTGCCCCGAGGACTGTTTACAAACAGGACACAATTGCAAAAGTCGCCTGGGCTGATTGCACTGCGCCTACTCCATCCTCCCCGCATCTCCCCTGAAAGTCATCGCGCTCTTCTCCCTATCGCTGTCACAGCGCCAGCCCCTGGGGACGAGCTTGGCTTGGCTTTGGAGCTTCCCAGCATCAGAGGTGCTGGGATGCAGGGTTTCGGCTCGAGGCTCTTTGCATAAAGCAACCCCTGAATAAAAACACTCTGTGTCCAGGCTTGAATTGGGCCCTCGTACCCAGGAGCAGGTCGATCGCCCTCCCCAGGTCAGCAAGATGGCAGGTTTCGTGCCCAATTAAGGTTGCCCCCAGCACTCAGTGCTGTCCCAGCTGGAAGCCCACATGGCAAGGCAACCTCCAGGGGTGCTAACTTGTGCGGGCGTTGCATCCAGCTGCCATTTATTTGGTTCCCGTTGTCTCCGCAGTGAAACAAGCCCGAGAAAGGCAGCAGAGCGGGAGCTGTCTGCATGCCATCGCCCTCAGCTCCCCCAGTATCAGAGCGCAGCACACAGCCGGACGTCATGGTAACTTGCCCCTGGCAACTCTCTGTGAGGACAGGTTTTGGCTCCGAAGCATCATCTCCCTGGGCACGGGTGCTCGAGGGGATAACAGCAAGACTGCCTGGACTGTTAACGTCTGCGCACACAGAGGCGAGCTGTGCCTGAGCGGGACGCAGGGCCAGCCGAGCACCCGACCCGTGGGGCTTTCTCCCAGGCAGCGGAGCAGGAATGGGGACAGGGCAGCTTTGAACCTAGCAAATGCCAGACCAAGCCCAGATCACCAGCGTGGCACTGGCCTCTTTAGGCCCAAAAGAACAGCGAGTCCCTGGCCCCGGCAATTCTCGCCTCCCTCCTCTTCCCATGTTTGCAGCTGGGGAGCTGTGGCTGGGCGAGCGGCCGGGACCCCGGTCCACCCAAGGCATTAGGCACCTGACTGCTGTTTAGTTGTCCCGGTGGTCGGAGCTAAGAGCATAAAGCACCCCAAGATGTGGGGCTCAAGGGACTTGACAAAGGGCAGCCAGGAAGTCAGAGGCAGAGGAGGGTTAAGGCCCCAGGCTGATGCTCTTGCCATTGGGAAACCTTGCCTCTCGATCCATTCACGCACCCATAACGAGGCACCCAGAAGCGAGCTCTTGCTGATGGATCTCCATGGCATAGCTCCACTTTGGGGCCTGCAAGTGAAACTGGACCCTAAATGCACTTTCCAGGCAGAAAAGGAGAGGGCAGAGGAAAGCAGGCCGGGCTGGGGTTATTCCCTCTCCCGCTGGCATTCAGCTGTCTGGATAAAAAAGACAAAGCTGCACCCAGCAGATCACCAGGCAACTTTTAAAGAGAGGGCTAATTTGTGCAGCAGTGGACAGCAGTATTTGCATAATGAAGCGTAGAGAGGATGTTTAGCTCATGTATTTTTTAGAAGGTTTATCTTGAAATTTATTAAGCTTAAGAAGGGCATGTCACTCAAACTGCACTGGTCATTTATAAAAATATTCCCATTGTGCTGTTGCAGAGCTGTCTTTAGGCCTAAGTGGCTTCTCCATGGGCTCTGAATACTAACGAGCACTCCGGCAGCATGGAGGGAGGAAACCCGCTATCAAATCGCAGGCTCCCAAGTTTTTGTTTTGCTGTTTCGGCGCCTGGGTTTGTACAGAACATCTCCCCTTTCTTGTCTGGCGAGAAGCGATGCTCTTTCTTTTCAGATCTTGGGGTAATGTTTTTGTGAGCAAGGTATCAAGATTGCTTTATTGACTGACTGCAGTAGGTAGGTAGTTACCGAGGGAGAAGTCTTTGTTTCATGGCTGGCTTTTGCAGCCCGGGGTGATTTAAAGCATGCTGCTTTATTTTCAGCCAATAAGAAAATGAAGTGCAGTTTCCTTAACCCTCTCCTGGGGTGCTTGCTTCTGCCAAAAGGTGCTGGGCCCAGCCAGTGTTGTATTTCTTAAATCATCCTACCCTGAAAGCATCCACCAGCCAGGCTGTGACCCAGAGATGTTCCAGACAGAAAAGACCCCTCGGTTCATCTGCCCGCAAAAGCAGAGGCCGGAGGACCTCACCACATGACTGCTGCAGCAAAGCCCAAACCTCGGTCTGAGCAGACATGCGGCCCTTTGAGAAACGTAGCGTGGTGCAAAAGGCTGCAAGGGATGGTGAGTGCAACGTGCCCCCAGGTAAATTGCTCCTGGGGGTTAGATACCCTCACTAGGACATCGTACAAGCCCGGCAGTGGGCTTCTTTGACCGTCAGTGAAATGCAGCCACCAGACAGTGGGCTCGCATGGGGTCTGCAAACACAGGTATGCGTTTAATGAGAAACACATGAGCAGTCCCTAACAAGTTATGCAGGATGTCTGATGGAGCAGAGGAGCTGAAGAAGAACCTGCATTTCCATGCAAATTCAGCTGTCACGCGGGATTCACCGAGGCAAGATGCTGCAGCCAACACCCCCCCGCTAGGAACAACCACCACCGACAAGACCTGGATTTTTACACCGAACAGGCTGGATGATGACATTGGTTTGCTTTCTGGGCCTCCCCCTTCCCCAGTGCACCCAGGTTTTACTGTCGCTTCTGGAAGATAACAGGAGGCAAAGAAACACGGCTGTTTCCAGCTCGCCTCACGCCTTTCTGGGTGGGTTGAGCTATCTCAAATCATTGCTGCTCCGGCAGGGCAAAGGCGGTGAGAGGGAGAATTGCTTCCTTTGGAAGGGTGAGGGGATAAGACTGTTTGCAAAGGGCTGAGATTTCCAGAAATACAATTCAAGTCCACTTTTAAGTCATTCAATTTTCATTTTCATTGGAATTGTAGTGGAGCGGCGTGA